TAGGGAAAGTACTATAATTTTTTTCACAAAATATTGTGGATTATTATAGTATTTCTCCTTGTGGTTTTTTTCTTATAATTTTTATCAAATTATCTTTATCAATTTTATTTTAATTAAGATTGAATTGTTTGAGAATTACAACTATAAGTCATTACAAATAAGGATAAATCATGTGTGGAAATACTGTAACTTTTATCACAAAATACTGTGAATTGTTACAGTGTTTCTAACATGATTTTTTTCTCACAGAATACTATGGATTGCTATAATATTTCTCTAAATAGTTTTTTATTTTATTTTATTGAGAAAATTACTATAGTTTTCTTTATAAAACATTATTAATTGTTACAATATTTTTTCTTATAGGTTTTTTTCCTTCCAAAATTATCTTTATTGGTTTTTTTAATATTAATTTGCTAGATAATCTAGCTTTGTAATTTTTTTTATTTTTTATAAATAAAAAAACTAAATCACATGGTGAAAAGTACTATATCTTTCCTCGAAAAACATTATAGATTATTATAAATTATTTTGTTTAGTCTATAAGTTTTTTTATTACTAATACAATTCTTTTTGTTATGAAATATTTATTTTATTATATTTTTAATTTTTATTACTTATTTAATACTAGTTTATAATTATAATACTATCAAATATATTTATTTTAGAAACCTATAACAGCACATGTGTATGTCATCTCGATTTATTGAAAAAAATGGTAGACAATAAGTTATCCATAACAATTAAGAAAATAAACATGCCTATCATGGATTAAACCCATGAATTCCTGGGTGCATGCATGCTAACCAATTGAGCTGTGAATTAAGTTTATTATAAAATAATTAAAAACATGTATTAAAGTGTTTTATTGGAATTTGAATAGCATAGCACCGTAAGTAACCGGAGTTTCTTCAGTGTATTCAGACAATTACTTTGTTTTTCAAGTAATTATTATTATCTTTTCCATCTAAGCTGATCATAAAAAAAAAATCCAGTAGTATTTTAACTTGGCTTGAGTTTAAATTTTTCAAGTTAAAATTAACTCTAATTAATTTTTTATAATTTAGTAAATAAATATATATATTAGGTCAAAATCATTTTGAAACTTAGATTAATCTTTATTTAAAAAGTTATATATATAGCTTTTGATATTAACTTATGCTACTTATATTAACTTAAATTAATATATTTCTGGTTATTTTTTAAAATATTTTTTATTCAAAAAAATATATTAATAATATTTTTTTATTTTTTTAAAATTATTTTTAAGATTCACGTATCAAAATAATTTAAAAATATTAAAAATATATATTATTTTTTTAAAAAAATTAAATTATTTTTAAAACACACAGTCAAAAACACGTAAAATCTTGAAATGTCACGGGCTGGAACTAGTTAAATAACTACGGAAAAAAACTACCCTTTTCGTTCCATTTTGTCTGAATATCGTTGGATTTTCAACTGTCTGGCAAAACATAATTTGCTCAGTGTTGTGAACATTCTCAAAACTATGTTGAAGCTTGAAAATAAAAATTGTAATCAATCAAGCAATCCAGGGGAAGATTGAAAATCAAAGTTTTTTTTTTAAATGAATAGACAATTTAAGATACTTTTTTATATATAAAAAAAGTTAATAAATAAAATGGGATGAAAAAAGTATATCTATAAACGCATAGATCGAACTTCAATCCATTTAAAGTTTCTCTAGAATTGTAGTTTAAGTGTTTTAAAAAATAATTTTGGATTAAAAAGCATCAATTCTATGTTTTTTTATTAATTAAAACAATTTACAATAAATAATTTGATGATCCAAGGAATAACTATCAATATTCCCTTTGGTAATTCTCTAACTCACTTTAAAGAAATAAAAAAAAATATAACTAAGAAAAATAAATCCTAAATAATTAGAGATTTTTTCTTTGATGGGCCATAAATTCTATAATCTCAATTTTCTGGGTGTTAGTTTCTTTTTTAAAATTAAGTATTATGAATAACCTATGGAATATCTCTAATTATTCTTAAGCACCATGGAATTATCTAAATAAAACTCTAAATTAAAAAATAAATAAGAAACAAATCGGAATCTCTCATGTGGTAAAGGTACTCTGGGATCCAAAAACAACGGTCAAATGATATCTCCTTTGGAGAGGTTACACGCAATGAATTAAGAAATAGTCTTTTTGTCTGGTCAAAACCAAAATCATTAATATTCATAGGAAATTAAAATAAATAAAAAAATAAGAGAAGAAAGGTTGTGCCCGCCCCACCCACCCACCTCCACCCCAAACGAGAGTGACATCCTAGTATGGTTTCGCATGTTTATTTATGAATTTTAAAAGTAATTATTTTTTTAAAATACTTTAAATTAATATATTTTTAGTATTTTAAAATTATTTTGATATGCTGATATCAAAAATAAAATTTTAAAAATAAAAAAATTATTAACATATATTTTAACATAAAACTTATTTAAAAAACAATTATAATTATATTGACAAACAAACTCTTATATAGCATGATTCTCATCTCTCCTTTTTTGTCCTTTTAAGTAAACTAAGAAATACCTGCAGATATTAAAAGATAAAAAATAAATCAATTGATTTTCAATTGTGGTGCTAATGATCAAAATTAGACTAGGAAATATTTATTTTCGTGGTTATTTACATGATTTAACTTGGTTTTTAAAACTTATATAAAAAATAATAAATACTAACTTAACAAAATGAAAATATTTACTAAAAATTAAACCCGTATCCATAGTTTTTAAAGTGACCTAGGGTAGACACAAAACAAGTTCTAGGTTATAAGTCAAGTAATTTAATTGATTAACTTGAATTATTATTTTTATATAAAAATTTAATATAGGCAGGCTAACTAAGTCGTGAATGAATTTAATTTTTTTTATTGAACTATACAGGATTAATTATCTTTTTATTTTTATTAAAGTCTAGGTCCAAATCCCAGGTTTTCCTGCTGTGCTCACAACCTCGTAAATAATTAGATTAATTAGAAAGTAACTTCTTGTGATGAAACCACTTTGGGAATAAATTTAAGTGACTTTCGTCCATCTAAACTAAATTCTCCCTTGGCGTCTCTCTTAATTAATTAAAATCTTGGAACTACTGTTTCTAAATACTCTCTCCAAAAAAAAAAAAAAAAAAAGAGTGAATCACACATGTGCAAGAAATATGATATTTAACATTGTAATAATGATAGCTTTTTAATTGTTTTAATTTTAAAATGTATTAAAATAATATTTTTTTATTTTTAAAATAAATCAAAACAATTTAAAAACATAAATTTTTTTTAAAAAAATTAACCACACCACAATAATAAGATCAAAACAATTTAAAAACATAATTTTTTTTAAAAAAAATTAACCACACCACAATAATAAGAACCATAAAATACTTTTTAAAAATAATTTTCACTTAAAAATATATTTATTTTTTTAATTTTTTATAAAAATTTTCAACATAAAAAACAATAAAAAAACAAATCTATAAACTTTTTTCCTCATAATATTAAATGCTTACGCTTGTATTATTAATAGATGGACCCACCAGTAAATACAAGCACAGGAAAAAGTTAGACCTTGACAAACCCAGCAATTCTTGGAAAAAACTGCCTGAAAAAAGTGAAAACCACACTACCCTGGATCAAGTGCTATCTAGGGTATTATTTTGATTTCTTGATGCACATCACTACCAAGCTCTAAGGGTTATCCTTGCCCTGCTTCAAGGTTGCCTTCATGAGGTTCAACACAACAGATGCTAACTCAGTTAGATGTGAAGTGTAGCAATGATTTGCTCCTTCTATGATGTGTAGAGTGTGATTTGGTATGATCTTGGCAAACTCTAACGCATCCTCCACAGGGATGATTTCATCAGCAGAACCATGAATGGTGAAGACCCTGCAATCCTTCTTGATCGCAGGGCATGCTTCATGCATATCAGTATTCAGGCGATCCATCAGACTTTCCTTGGTGACACGATAAATGACACTCCCCGTTCCATCCTTAACATCAATGAATCCATCTTGGTTGATCTTTTCCATAAAACCCTTTCCAGTTCGTTCTTCAATGCCTCTCTTCAGATCATAACGGCCAGAAACATTGAAAACTGTGCTGATATCCTGATATTTTGAAGCATATAGGAGCACCACATCGCCTCCTTTACTATGCCCAAGAATTGCACTTATGCCTCTGCTTGGGCTTGCTCCGCGGAAGTGTTCGATTACAGCACGTAAATCATCAGCCTCTCTCCTGTAATTTCCATATGCAAATGAACCTTCACTTTCCCCATTTCCAGCCAAGTCGAAACGGAAGGCAGAGATTCCTTCCTTTTCTAATGCGGTGGCAAGATTCACCATGATATCGTTTTCCTTTGTGGAACAAAAACCATGGCATAATATAACTATGTCGTTGGATCCAGTGTCAAGTAATAAGCCTATCAGTTTTTCACCATGTTTGTTTGATATTGTAACTTTCTGCTGCTCAACAACTGGGTTTTGGGCAGACGGAGAGAGAGCCATCCTTACAGTCACGGCGCGATTGAAGGATGAGAAAAAGAGTACCTGCAAGGAGGAAGCAGGGAACCGTCTCGGAGTGGAGGCGGCGCGTAGTTTCACGTGTGAATGAGATACTGCGAGCGTGGCCACCTGGATCGGGGCAACTTTCTCCCGGATTCTTCCGATTACCAATCAATCTCTCAAAATAAGACGATTGAATTTCAATAACTCTCAAAGAAACCATTTTTAAAGAGCAACCAATATTTAGCATCCCAATAGATACACATACGATAAAATAACACAAAACCGAGATGAAAAAACAGCCATAAAAGATCAAACCAATTCAAGAAAGAATCAAAATGTTAAAAAGAAATGATCTTTACTGAAAACCCAACAAGGGAAAGTGAGTCTCCTTACCTGAAAGTATATGTTGAAGTCAGTATCTTCAGCTGGAATTTTCCCGAGAAAATGATAGAAAATTTGTGAGAAAATAAGAAGTGTGAACAGTGAAAGCCGCGGTGGAGATAGTTAGGGTGGAGAGAGAGTGTTTAGTGCAATTACAATATAAAAAAAAATAAAAATGGTTGAAGTATCATCTTATCCTTTAAGAAAGCATGAGATGCTGGGAAGGTGCTGTGTATTTTGGAAGGGAGATAAGAGTTGTTTTTGAAGTATTTTTTATTTAAAAATATATTAAAATAATATTTTTTATTTTTAAAAATATTTTTTTAATATTATTATATTAAAATAATTTAAAAATATAAATAAAATTAAATTTAAATAAAGAAACAAAATTTTATGAAATACACTTTCTACCATTCCGAACCGATAGCTTGTATCAGGTGTTGAAAGTTCTTCTTACACGGCTCATTTATTGTTAGTGTTTATCATGCTCGACAGTATTGATTTGACTGGATTGAATTCGGTAAAGACCAGATAAATAGCTGTCTTATCTATTGCTTAGCTTATTTTGTTCTTGATAAATAATGAAAGGATAAAATCGATTCGGGCTGGATTCCTCTTAATTTAAAAAATAAAATAAAAAAAATCATTCTTGATTAATATCGACATGATTAAATCAAGATAAAAACATAAGGCTTTATTTCAATCAACCCTCAAGTTAAATTTTTAAAATAATAATAATAATTTTTTTTATATTATCAAGAATCATTTTGAGATAACAATCCCAACCCATAACTTAAATCTTGTCTTGAATCGATTTTTTTATTGATTTTTAAAATTATGATAATAATTATTTTTTTATTAAATAGATATGGGTCTATAGTCAATCTGATTTATGAGCCGAGCTTTACCCCGTGTTGACCCCTAAACCTTGTCTTATATCTAACTTTAAATTAGGTTTTAAAACTATAATAATAATTATTTTTATCTTTACATTGACCTTGATCAATGGTCAACTCGACCAACTCGACGTGTGAATTGAGCCTAACTCTAAATTGACCAACGAGTTAAATTTTAAAACTATAATAATAATTATTTTTATCTTTACATTGACCTTGATCAATGGTCAACTCGACCAACTCGACGTGTGAATTGAGCCTAACTCTAAATTGACCAACGAGTTAAATTTTAAAACTATAATAATAATTATTTTTATTTTTATATTAATTTAAATCAATAATTAATTCAATTTGTGACGTGGACATTACCTTAACTTGATTCTCTAGTCATGTTTAAAAATTATGATAATAATAATTTATATTTTTATCTTGATATGTATTAACTCATATTAACTCTTTTAGCGTGAAGAATTTTTTTTTTTTGTTGAAATAACCTCAAATTAGTTTTTGTATTATTCAAATGTGTACCAAATAATTTCACAAAAAAACAATTATATTAAATCTGACATTGTCCGACGTACAAAACACCTCTTAAATAATTGTCCAATGATATATGTGTTTTTTCAAAATTTCAAAATAATTAAATAACTAAATTATATCTAAAAAAAAATTAAGATGTTGACAAGGATGTTTTCGCCCTTTTGGCCTTTTAAAATATAATAAAATTACATATTTACTCTTGAAATCAAGTCATGCATCCAAGGGCCTTTTTATTATGCCACATAGGTGTTTTTGTTAATTCTACAACTATGAAGGACAGTTTGATCTTTTTCACTTGATTAATTTATATGAAAATTCAAAAAGATGTTGCCATATGTTGTTTACTTCCTAACATGTATGAATGTCTGCGCTATTTAAACAGTGTATGCAATGCTTTCTAATGGTCAAACTTGTTTTTTCATTATATTGTTAGAAGCGTCATCCTGTTGTTATCATTCTTTCTAAAAATTACAGCCAACCCTCTTTGCTTTTTATATTTTAACTTCAGTTATTTTTTTATTTTTTTTATCTTTTAATTATAAATTGTCATATATTATTGTTTATTTTCTAATTTTCTTTCTGTTTTCAATTTAATTCAAATTTGAAAATATAAAATACAGAGACAAAGTGAAAGTTTACATCAAGCAAAATTCATTTGCGATGCCATTTTATCATCACCAACATTCAGATACTGGCAACTGTATTCCCTTTGAAACTGCAACTTTCCATTTTGCCATTCTGATAGTCTTAAGCACTTACAATAAATAAAATATTATCAATATATAATCAATTAATGGATCATCTATTCACATTACTAGTAATAGTCGCTGGCGCGTAAGAAATTGCTCATCAAGGCTCAAAATATGTGCAGTGCAAAAACTTGAAAGGGTGTACGAAAACCTAGCTATTTTGATGAAAACTACGGTTGATGGGAAAATTTCACTTCGTTTTCCTATCTTGAGAGCTTCCACGCATAAATTGACTTATGATTTCATCACTTGATTCCAGATCCGATAACATTCTAAATGTAGACGAATCTGCAGAGAATCCTTTACCAACCATTTCTTCGATTAGTCGTACTGCATTTGATGTGTCACCGTTTCGAAGAAATCCTTGGATGATTACATTGTAAGTGCAACCATTCGGCAAGCAGCCATTAACTGCCATTTCTCTAAACAACTCACATGCTTCATTTGATAGTCCTCCTTTCAAAAGTCCACTGATCATGACAGTGTATGTAACCACAGTAGGTTGTATTCCTTTAACAAAAAGATTGGAGAACACTTCCCTTGCAGCCTCAAGCTTGCCAAAATTGCACATCCCTTCAATAAGGATAGTATAAATGAAAATATTTGGTTCTATCTTGCTCTCCTGCATTGCATTGAGCAGTTCGAATGCCTCGTCCAAATGGCCATGTTTGCATAAGCCATCTAGCACAATAGAGTAAGTTATCAAATTTGGAAGCAGGCCATAAAAGCACATCTCCTTAAGAAGTTCCCGTGCCTCCTGAGGTCTCCCTACTTGGCAAAAACCTCTCATAAGAGTACTGTAAGTGAAAATATCAGGGGTCAATGATTTATGAGACATTTCAGCAAGGAGTCCTTTTGCCTCATTAATCCTTCCACTCTTACAGTGCCCGTTGATCAATATGTTATAACTTCGAACATTAGGTGCGCAACCCTTGCGATCCATGATGTTGAACAATTTTTGGGCCTCATCCATTTGGCTTCGAGAACAGTATCCATCCATCAAAGCGTTGTAAGTGTAAACATCTGGTTCTAAACCCTTTTCAGTCATCGTTTCAAAAACAAGCCAAGCTTCTGAAATCATCCTTTTTTTGCAGAGTCCATCAATTAAAATAGTGAATGTCACTTTATTTGGAATAACATTCCTTTCAACCATTTGCTTGAACAAGCTAGTTGCTTCATTCACTCGTCCTAAATTGCAAAAACCGTGCAGAATTGAGCTGTAAGTAAAAACATCTGGTGGAATTCCTTCCTTGATCATTTCAGAAATGAAGTCCATGGCTTCAGTTACCAGTCTATCTTTACAAAGGCCATCTATGATTGTATTATATGCCACCACATTTGGCTTACAACCTTTTTCTTCCATCTTCTTGAGCAACTGAAGTGCCATGGTCGTGTTGCCCATTTTGCATAAACCATTAATTATAGTACTATAAGTAATCACATCAGGTTCATGCCCCATCTTTACCATCTCATCAAACAATTTTACTGCATCCATTATTTTGGCCTTAGAGCAAAGGCCGCTAAGTAGGGTATTGAAAGTGACAAGAGTGGGTTGAAGTCCAAGTTTGAACATTTTACCAAAAACAGAGAATGCAAAAGGAATGTGCTGATGGTTGGAGTGGCAGAAGCAGTTAATCAAAATGGTAAGAGTAGCAACATTAGGTCTGATATTTGACAAATCCATTTGTTTGAAGAAAGAGATTACAGTAGAGTAGTGCTTGTTTTTCACAATGGACCCTAATAACTTGTTAAATTCCACAATGGATGGCACTGGACGAATGCTAAGCAACTGATTGAAAGAAGCAACGGCATCGGCAACACTATTAGGATTGCTATAATCACTACAAAACCCACCATCTGTTATCGAGGAAGGACTAATATTGGTGGTAGAAGCTGTAGAAGCAGTGAAGTGCTGGTGAATGAAGAATAAGAAAGAAGGGAATTTAGGAAAAGTACCCATTTCCATTTGTTGTTGTTGAAGAAGCTGAGAAACACAAGAACCAGAAGCTGCGAAAGGGCTTTTCCGCATCATCATGTTCGAAAGCAAAAGCAGAAGCTGTCGTCTCCTGGTGTTCTTATAAAGAAGGTGAAAGCCAACCTAAGTAGCTAATCTCTCTCACAACCTCAGACTCCAGGTTCAGTCTCTCTCTCGTGCCCTAAAACAAAAGCGAACGGAAAAACCAGAAGGAACCCACTGGCCCCTTTTTTTAAAAGCCCAGTAGAAAAAAACTCTCTATTTTGATAATTTGCAAGCCATCCATGTAGCTGAGACTAGAAACTATTTTATATTTAATTAAAATTTTAAAATAAATTGGTTACATAATTAAAGTATTTATCATCTTCAACAAATGAACGGATATTATGTGTTTTCAAATAGCAAGGGAATTCTTTTATTAAATCACTTGGTTAATACAATTGAAAGCATCAGTATATCCAAATGAAAAAAAATTAAAATTTATGAACTTATTGAAAAATAATAACATCATGAAAAAATAGAGCAATGGATAGAATTTGAATAAATACTACATATTTGACCCGCGTTTTACCATGATTTGAATATTTTTTCTAGTCAAAATGTTTTTGAAAAATTATTGTAGCCAGAAGGATTACAAGTGAAAATAAAAAAGTTTATATATATATATATATATATCTATAAATAAATAAATAAATTAAAAATTATGTAAGTTAATAAATAAATAAATAAATCATAAATAATAACTAAAAATAAAACTCAAAAATACAAAATACAAGATATAAGTATAAATCAAAATATTTAATTTTATAAAATGAAATATTTATCTAGTTGTGTTTGCTACATTGATTTATTAAGATAATTTTTTATTTAATCAGATGATAATATAAATAGATATATACATTAAATTGATTGAATAAAATAAAAATAAAAAACAAATATCATGTAACCATGTATATATTAAAAATATTATCCAAAAATAAAAATAAATTTTTTAATCAATAAAGTGATAATATAAATAGATACACATTAACTTGATTCAAAAAATAAAAGGAAAGAAAAATTCTATACAAGGTTGTAAATATTAGAAATATTATCTGAAAATAAAAAAAATTATTTTTCAAAAATAAAGTTTATTTTTATAAAATATAATAAAAAATTATAGATAAATCACAAAAATATTTTTAAAAATTAAAAGCATAAAAAATAATCATATTTTAAAAGAGGCTCTTAAAAATAAATAAAATATATAAGAGGCACAAAATATAAATAAAAAAATAATTTTAAAAAAACATATAAAAAATTATTAATTTATATATATATATATATATATATATATAAAACTATGCATTACTAGGCCTAGCAGGCCGAAACAACTTGCAGGATTTGTGTGACTGAGCCCGTTTTTTCCCTTTGCATTTAGGGAAGATAGGGTTTTGTTTGTTCCGATTCTTTTTGACAACATAGTCGAAGAAAAATGCTAATGGTTTTTTAGACTCAAAAACCACATTTTAACCCATTTTGTTTTACTCAAAACACTTATAAAATATCTTATAATTTAATAAACATATTCATAATCTAAAACATTATCATAAAACTTGAAATTAATATAAAATAAAAATATTTTCTCAAAATTAGATCTATTTTTTTTAAGGTAAACAAAATCCTAATACAATTATCTTGGTTTAATGAACTTTTTTTTATTTATCGTGTTTTTGATTTAATGAATAATGTTACAAGTTCGAAAAGTTAATACGACTTAACATTTTTTTTCTTCTCAATTTTCTTTTAAATTTCATTGTTTTTTATTTTTTTTAAATTAATTTTATAGTTATCTTTATTTTTTTTATTAATTTATTTTGATCTTATAATTTAATTTATAAGTTTTGCAGCCTGTTTTAGAATAGAGTTTGTTTTAAAAAAAATTTATTTTTTTTAAAGATATCATTTGACTCATTTATATTTTCTTTTGTTTTGTAGAAATGAAATTTATTTTTATAAATAAAAAATATCTATTTTTAGGTAATATTTTTAATATATTCAACTTATGTAATATTATTTTTTTTGCTCAACTAATTTCTCGTGTATTTATATTTTTATTATTATTTATTTATTTTAATAAATAAATTTAGTAAATATAACCTCATAAATTTTATATTTTGCAAGATCAAATATCTTGATTTGTATATATTTTTTATTTTTTTTTATTTATTGTTAATAAATTTTTTTAGTTCATTTAAATGTATAATTATTGATTTATTAAATTTTATACTTAAATTATAATAATTATTATTTTTATTTTTATATTAACTCATGTTAATGGTCAATCTAACTTGTGACCTAAATCTTATTTTGAGTTGACCTCTATGTTAGATTTTAAAATTATAATAATAATTATTTTTATTTTTATATTAATTTAAATCAATAATTAATTCAATTTGTGGTGTGGACATTACCCTAATTTGATTTTTTAGTTATATTTAAAAATTATGATAATAATAATTTATATCCTTATCTTGATATGTATTAATTCATATTAACTCTTGTGTAGAGAATTAGACTATATTATAGCTTACTTCTTTTAGCGTTTAGCGTGAAGAAATTTTTTTTGCTGAAATAACCTTTGAAAGAACAAAAATTAGTTTTTGTATTACCAAACAATTTAAAAAAAAACAATCATATTAAATCCAACATTGTCCCACGTACAAAACACCTCTTAAATAATTGTCCAATGATATATGTGTTTTTTCAAAATTTCAAAATAATTAAATAACTAAATTATATCTAAAAAAAATTAAGATGTTGACAAGGATGTTTTCGCCCTTTTGGCCTTTTAAAATATAATAAAATTACATATTTACTCTTGAAATCAAGTCATGCATCCAAGGGCCTTTTTATTATGCCACATAGGTGTTTTTGTTAATTCTACAACTATGAAGGACAGTTTGATCTTTTTCACTTGATTAATTTATATGAAAATTCAAAAAGATGTTGCCATATGTTGTTTACTTCCTAACATGTATGAATGTCTGCGCTATTTAAACAGTGTACGCAATGCTTTCTAATGGTCAAACTTGTTTTTTCATTATATTGTTAGAAGCGTCATCCTGTTATCATTCTTTCTAAAAATTACAGCCAACCCTCTTTGCTTTTTATATTTTAACTTCAGTTATTTTTTTATTTTTTTTATCTTTTAATTATAAATTGTCATATATTATTGTTTATTTTCTAATTTTCTTTCTGTTTTCAATTTAATTCAAATTTGAAAATATAAAATACAGAGACAAAGTGAAAGTTTACATCAAGCAAAATTCATTTGCGATGCCATTTTATCATCACCAACATTCAGATACTGGCAACTGTATTCCCTTTGAAACTGCAACTTTCCATTTTGCCATTCTGATAGTCTTAAGCACTTACAATAAATAAAATATTATCAATATATAATCAATTAATGGATCATCTATTCACATTACTAGTAATAGTCGCTGGCGCGTAAGAAATTGCTCATCAAGGCTCAAAATATGTGCAGTGCAAAAACTTGAAAGGGTGTACGAAAACCTAGCTATTTTGATGAAAACTACGGTTGATGGGAAAATTTCACTTCGTTTTCCTATCTTGAGAGCTTCCACGCATAAATTGACTTATGATTTCATCACTTGATTCCAGATCCGATAACATTCTAAATGTAGACGAATCTGCAGAGAATCCTTTACCAACCATTTCTTCGATTAGTCGTACTGCATTTGATGTGTCACCGTTTCGAAGAAATCCTTGGATGATTACATTGTAAGTGCAACCATTCGGCAAGCAGCCATTAAA